ACGTCATTTTAGGCCCACCTCTAGCTCTTTTCAGTCATTCTACTTGAACTTACTCGCACATTCTATCAGGTGTTGTACTTCGTGGGTACCACACATGGTCAGCCCACCTAAGTCTACTCTTTCTCTCATTTTATCGCCTATTGGTGCGACTCCTAAATTCTCTCGAATAGATTCAATTTGAATTCTATCCCTTATTGTCTTGCCACTCATCCGTCTCAACATCGTCATCTCCGCTACACTCATTCTATGAGTATATTGTTTTTTGTCCACCCAACGTTTCACCCCATATAGTAAAGTTGGTCTCACCACTGTCCTATATAACTTGCTCTTTAGCCTCATTGGTATGCGACAATCATATAAAATTCCAGTTGCACGTCTCCACTTCGTCCACCCAGCTCTAATTCTGTGTGCGATATCTTCCTCAACCTCTTTATTTTCCTGAACTATTGACCCAAGATATCGAAAGTGCGATCTTTTTTTACAGTAAAAAAAAAAAAAAGAAAAAAAAAAAGAAGAAAGAGATGAGCAGTAGAGAGTCACACCGCTACACCCATGGCAATAGCTTTAGCACTTCCATTCAACTCTTTGTGGACATGGATAAAGGGTATATCCTTACGGTGAAGGTACCTATCACTGCGGTCCTGGTCCTGACTGTGGATCCATTGCCAAGGGATAGATGAGGGTTGCATGCAAGTTTCCTTCTATAACCACTCTAGGGATGGACTCATCAATTTTACTAATGCCATGCAACAATGCCCATAGCTCGGCTTCATTCGCTGTGCTGGGATGTAGTGCACCACGATAGATCCAAAGAGTATAACCCAAATTATCTTTGAAGAGATCCACATAACTGGCCACCCGCCCATTTTCCCTCACACTGCCATCAAAATTAAGCTTCGTCTAGCCAACAGGTGGTGGGAACCATCTATTAGAAATATTACTTTATTTTTAAAAATTTCAAACTTGACTTAAATATTCTTTATTTTACTCATAGACACTAAATTGAACGGCTTATATTAATTAGGTTAAAAAAACACTTTGTAGGTTTTCTTTTTTGTGATTGTTCTTTAGAATGAAGAGAATGTACATTTAAAAATTCGTGTCAAACAAATGTCTCTAACATAGTTTTTGAAGATGGTTGCATTATACCACTATACAACCGTTGCATGAAATCATTCCCTTATATATATATATATATATATATATATATATATATATATATTA